GCCCAAAAGGGGGGTGGCCAGAAAGTGGGGTATCCGACTTATATAAATTTTCATTGAATTATATTATATATTGATAGAGATATTAATAGGCCTAAAAAGTGATTTTTGGTGTGAAAGGGTAGCCCAAAACCCTGTTGGCCCGAAAGTAGGGTAACCGACTTAATATAGAATATGTTCAGATATTTATATAGAAAGTTATTAATAAATTTTTGAAATGTAGTAGATACCTTTATCAGTTCAAATAATATAATTAGGAATTTGAATAAATTAAATCGGATATAAAATATGGTTAGATATTTTTGTTCTTTTTTAATTTTAATATTATTAGAGGTAGAAATAATATCAATTTTGTTAAAATACTTTATTTCCTTTAAATTGTTTAGGAATTCTTTAATTAGTAATAGTAGATATTGATTTTTTATGAATAGATTATTTAAGGTTTTATAATTGATATAAAAATGGAAATCTTTATTAACTTTTTTAATAAATAGTATAGGGGATATAATAGGTAAGAAGTTGGGATAAATAAATTCTTTTTTTAGGTTTTTTTCTAATTATTCTTTTAGGATTTCGAATTCGATTTGGAATATAATATATAAAGTTTTAAAAGGTAATATAGCTTTTTTTTGGAGTTGGATTTTGTAATTATATAGTTGGTATAGTAATAGTTTATTAGTATTTTATAGGGAAAATATGTTTTTTTCATTTTGGAATTTAGGTAAAAGATTATTTGGATCGAATTTTTTCTTTTTGTTTAAAATATTATTAATTTGTGTAATAGAGATTTAGAATATTTTATATTTTTGGTAAATGTATATGGAATAAGTTTTTAAGGAGATTATAGTTATATTTCGATCTTTAAGATTTTTAGAGTGATTAGGTAGATATATAGATTGGGTTTTTAAAGAAATATTAGATAGGGTTTTTATTTAAAACAAATGGAATAGAATATTATAGAATTTATAATAATATATATTATTGAATTGAAAAAAGTTTGTTATAAAGTTGATATAGGGATTATACTTTTTAAATTAGGCTATATTTAATATTATAGGGTAATAGGCTAGTTTAGTTATATATAGGATAATTTTTTTTTTGGTATAGTTATTAATTCTAAGTTTAATATAGATATAGAATATAATCTAGTTTCTAGATAGAATTTTATTATTGAATTTAATGATTTTGAAGGTAATAAATACTTTGTATTTGGGAATCTTTTGGAATAGTATTTAGTTTTGATTAGTAAAAATAGTTTTTTTATAATTATTATTTATTATAATATAAATTAAAAGAATATTTTTTTTAGGAATAGAATAATAAATAAAATTATTAGATTTATATGATTATTTATTATTTTTTAAAAGTCATTTTTGGATAATAATAATAAATAAATACAGTTTATATAAAGGATTATTCTGATAATAATTTAGCTTACATAAATACTGTTTTTTAATTTCGATAAATTAGTTAATAAACAGAATAGGGATTTAGAAGAAGAATAGAATAGTGATTAAATAAGTATTTTGTTTTTTGATAGGCTTTTTGAGGTAGTATTGTATTAAGGCGAACTGAAAATTTCAATTCTGAATTAAATAAAACGGATATTAGAATATAAATAATAATGAATAAAGTATTTAATAGAGCTATAATAATAATATTTATTACATTCTTTTTTAAATAGATTTCTTTTATTTATATAATATTAAAAGTTGAGATCTATTAGGTTTTTAATAAAAATAGGTATTGAGATTAGCTTACTAATATAGATCAAAGTGGATATAGATAATTCTAATAGATAGGGAATAAAGAGTAATTATTTAATCTTACTTTAGATATTTATAACAATTCTTCAATCTCTAATAAAAGGCTATATAAATATTAGTACTATAAATTGATAATTTAATAGTAATAATCTAATCTACCAAATTATTAAACAAATCTTATTCTAATAAAACAATCAAGATTATATTATTATCAACTATTCCTATTTCTAATACTAGTTATTGAAATTTGATATAAAAAATATAAAATAATTGGTTTTGTTAATAGAGGGATATTAATTACTTTTAGATTTTAGCAATCTTGTTTATATTTTTATAAATATATTCTAATATTTTTAATAGATTAAAATAATTCTTTAAATAAATAAAGTCTTTTTTGATATTGTAAAAATGGATTTAAATAGTAATAGTTTTAGTAAATCTTTTAATAATATATAATAAACGGGAATAGATAATAGTGAAATGATTAGAATTTGTATATATCTTATTCTGGATTTGTATAATAAAGTAGTTTAGATTGAATTTATTACTATTGAATAATATAGAGTTAAACAACTTTTCATTTAATCAAAGAATAATAATAGATAGAGTAAGTAATATAGAAATAGTTATTATTTCTTTAAATATTTTGTTAAATAAGGAACTAGTAATAAAGAGTTTGATAGAAATAGGTTTAAGAAAGTGATCGAGTAGACTAGTATTTTATACAACGATTTGTTTATATAGAGAGATTTTGATATATTTTTTGATAGATGCCTTTAGAACTTTGTATTTGAGGGATAAATTAGCCTTTCTAGTTTGATAATATATATAGTTGTTGATTAGAGATATTAATATTAAGCTTAAGGATTCTTTGTTATAGTTATACTGAGTTTAGAAATATCCTTTAGATAATTGAGTAGATACAAAACAGATATTATTATTGCAATAATATTAATTGAAGTTATATAGTATTACAAAACAAGTAAACAGAATCAGGAATCTATATTCAATAATACTAAGAATAATAAATACAAAATATAAACTAAAACATAACTCAAAAAGCTATAATACAAAATCTTCCAATATAAAGATATATAGAGTTTTCACTTATAAGCTAGCCTAACAGAACCTAGCTTATCGCTTATCGGTCACGTATATCCACACCGTAACAAATATAAAGCTTTTTGAATATTAATAATAGTAAGTTATAATTAATATAAAAGAATTCAAGTATATTATTCTTAAATATAATTAGGAATACTTTATATTATAAGTTTATAAATACTTTTATATATTATAAGATTTTATAGAATATTAAAAGTTTGAAATCGAAATTATTATTATCCCTATTATATTTCTCTTTATTAATATAAAATTTTAATAGATTGATAAGAGATTGATTATTAGAATAATTAGGATATATTGATAGTTTCTTATTTCTGTTATATTATTTTTTATAATTCTTTTTATTATTATTATTATTATTATTATTATTATTATTATTATTATTATTATTATTATTATTATTATTATTATTATTATTATTATTATTATTATTATTATTATTATTATTATTATTATTATTATTATTATCATAATCTCCCTTTTTATTATCATTTCTATTATTATTTTTATTACCATTTTTATTATTATCTCTATTATTATTTTTATTATCTTCTTGATTATTATTATATTTGAAATTGTTTTTAATAAATCTAATAATTATTCTGAATTTAAATTTAAAATTCTTAATATTACAATTCTTTAAAACTTTTTAAATCTAGTTTTTTATTTATATATTTATAATAAATCTATAAGATTGATTATATAAAACTATATGTATTTCAATATTTATTTTTAATATTAATACTCCTTATATATATAATATTATATATAGCTTTTATATATCCATTTAATAAATCTTTAAGAATTATTTAATTATATATATATTAAAATTATTATAAAAAATCTTAATAAACTTATTATTATTGATATTTTTATAATAATATTATTCATATTTGAATTTAATATATTTAATAAACTCTTTAATATTAAATACAATATATTCTTTTTATTAATCTATTATTTCTTTAATAGATTTAATTATTTCTTGTAATACTCCTTTTCCTTCTCTATATATAAGTTTTTATCAACAACCTTTTTAAAGGCAATCGGGTTGATAATATTATCGCTATCTGATATAATAGTGTGTAAGAATAGGTATTTCGAAGGTTATAGGTATAAATATAAATATTCATAAAAGGGTATTTGAAAAAGTATTTATAAAGGTATTTAGATAAAGGTTTATAGATTATCTTATACAGTATATAGTACAAAGACTAATATATAATAGATACAAACTCGATTTATTATAATTAACAAGATCAATCTTTTTGAATACATTTTTCTAATATAATTATCCAGAGTATATTTTTTAGTATAACAAAAAGAAATAGTATACTATACTAAATATAATGATATTTTCTTTATAATTTTTTTAGAATTTCTATTAATCTTAAAAACCATTTCAAAACATCTAATACTTTGTAGTAAAATCCAAGACTCTAATTTGTAATATTACTAATTAGTATTAGTATCAATTTAAGTTAATAAAGTATATAATACTTTAGTCTATTGTAGTTTATTTGTTCTTGATTATTATTAATTATAGAAAGCTAATATCTAATATAATAGAAGTACTAGCGCTAGTATACACACTAATACATACACTAGTACAATACAACACCCTCTTTAGATTATATAATCGATATCCCGACAATTCTGAGTCTAATCGTCGCAATTCCAGAGGAAACCTCAGAGTGGATCTCATTCTAAGAATGAAAAGTCTTGTGTTTTATCTTAAGGGAGGCTCAGGAGGCTAATTTTCAACAATATATATGAGATTAATAAGGAATATGGATACCAATGACACATACCCATCAACACCCAAACAAAGTAGTATTGAATTATTTATCCAGATAGCAGCAGATACACAGCAGACTTTCCAGCTGGAGGGGTCTGAAAACTGCTTTACGTTCACTAACTATTGGATTTAACAAGCTTGTATAGTATATTCGCAGCATGTTCATGCAACTTTTTCAAGGGATCCCCCATAGATTCTTTTATCGCACTTGGTTTATTATCAAGGAAATGAAATATGTTATAACTTCTTCATAAATTTACCCCAACAAGAACCCAAACCCAGACCCCACCCGTACCCATAAACCTTGAACATTTTCAAAGAATCTCTGGTTTCTTCATCATCCAAGGAATATCAAGCGTATCAGTCGAATTCCTCAAACATCTATAATCGTCCCTTTCTGGTGGACATTGCAGATCAAATTCTGTCTGAAGACAGTAAATTCTCTCTCCCTCTGGTGTCTTCGCATCAAACTTTATGCTCCAATTTCCCTACGATGTCATAAGTCTCTGATTTGCATCAAGTCAATGATGTCACTTGAATACATACAGGAGCGGTCAAAAAGTAAGCAAACCAAGCAGCGTAATCGATAAACACGGAACCTTCATGAGGTGGGCATGCTTTTGTAACATTCAAATCAGGAAGTTGACGCATCTGCTCGAGATAATCGCATATAGAAAATGTGCCGTTGTAGGAGCCATAATCCCCGGTATTGGCGGTGGCATTGATCTGAAAATCTACAGTCGAGTAGGGTGAGATATCACGGCTGAAGCTGCCTGTGTGAGTACGACGTCAGTGGAAGCGCACATTTTGGTTTGAGAAATTACCCCAGATGAAAACATCTATTTCTTCGTCTCTAAAAGGCCAGTTAGATGATCACCCGTAGTGAAGGGGGCCCATAAAAGAGTTTGTTGAGACATACAAAATAGGTTCCGGTCTGTTCAAAATTTTGTCGATTTTGAGAATGTCTGTGTCAAGGGATTCTGGACATAATTTGACGATCGAATCACCAGGTATTTCCCGAAGGATACTTGAATTTTCGAGCGTAAGAGGTCGTTGTCGATCGTTGTCAATGTTTCTGCCCTGCGCAAAAGCGTGTAACAAGAAGATGACTAAGGATAACATGTTGTAACGAGTCATGTAGGTCATAAGAAAGCGGGACTGGGTGCAGGAATCAGGGTAGGATCTTATTGAGAATAAGCTGCCTCAAAAGAGTAAGCTTTATGAGTTTGTCTTGCCGTGGTATTTGATGTTGGGAAACTTATTGTGCAATTAAACGAGGATTGAGATGCTGGAGATTCGTGAAAGAAATTAATTTCAAGAAATGGCAGGAAGATAAGATCGTATGGGTGGTGAATTAATTTTCCCAACTTTTCTGCGCCCCCAATTTTACTCAGCTCTGCGGCACAGATATCATTCACCATATCATTTGAAGTGGGCTGTACAAGATTTGAAACAAACAACTAACAATTCCAGGTTGACAATGTGGTCTATTGGATTGAAATTTTGTGATACTTATTTCTGTCTCTGTCGAGGCTTTTTTCTTTCTCAAAAGGTTTAGGGACGGCGCAAGTAGTTATTAAACAAGACTACCGAGGGTGAAGGCTACATATTTTCATTCCATGAACCTTCGAAGAGCATAGCCATCGTTTGTTCAATGGCTTTCTTCTATCTGCTACCTCGTATATTCTTTTCTGGTAATGCCAGAGAGCAAATAGCACCATTTGAAACACTTTTTCAGTGAATTGCCGACGTTGGGGCCCAATTGAATTATTTAAGGATGTGTTATATGTAACTTACCTAGGTATGTAGTGTTCGTTAACTGTTTGAGCTTTAAGGTATATTTGTTCATCTATGGGAGGTCAACTTGACACTGTTCCTCGATTCCAACAGTGTATTGTTATGTATGAAGGCACGAACTTGGGAGCTGGAGAGACGCATACAAAGGCGCATGTGGACATGAGTTGGTGATACCTGATGAGGGGGAATCACAAACTGATACAATTCTATGATAGATAGTTGGAGATCTGTTAGGGTGTGTTGCAGAAAGTACGTCCTGTAGACAAAGTCTATACCATCATTTATATGAATATGAGGATTCGAAAACATGGTAAGATATGATCAGATGTGTTCAACCATCACAGCATTTTGCCGATGTACGACCTTCTACATTGAAATCATATCTTGAAATCACTATATCATGAATCGCTTTAGCCTTTATCTTGTTTGCAACTTCTATCCTAGCCTACTTCCCATTAAATACTGACAGGTCGACTCGTTTTGACGGCAGAGCAACTTCTTTCGAATTGATCGTTTGGGGCGACTCATATGCTTCTGGTGTTGGTTCGGGAGAGCACATTGATGGACGCCGGATAGGGATCTTGTATTCAAGATCGATTCTGTGATAAAAAAAAAATCGTCCAATATGGTCAGGCAGCAACTGGGAAAGAGTTTTGACTTTATATGACTGGCTGTGGTTAATTTTTAATGATCAAGACCCCGGTTGCAATAATGTGACCTTTGCGAGGACCACAAATCTGAACCCTGATAACAAGCAACATCCATTGATGACTACGGATCTGCATCAAGAATTCAATTTGATGAGTGTGACATTGAACCTGCCATTAAGTAGGCTGTACACCAGAACAGTGGAAGCAACGTCAAACATATCGATATAGACTTTTTGTTAGGAGCCGACCATCGCTTTTGTGAGCCGGGGGTCAAAGAGCCAAACTTGAATAATCCCAAGCTTAGGTTTTGGCACTATCCTTACGATTCAAATGAAGAGAACGAAAATTTGATGGATCCAACCATCATTTATTTGAATAGCGTCCAGCAAGCTAACATTGATAAAATGCCTTGGGATCAAAAAATCTACTCTTTGGTCGGACTATCTCGACGATTTCTGGTCAAAAGTCGACGAGAATCAGCCGAATCAAACATTTGGCGGAAATGTGACAAAGCAGGCCAACATTTGGTCTGATTTTGTTGGTCATCGTGCCAGTATGTCTCTAACGTAATTAGAGTATGCTACTGGCGTCTGAAACGATATTTGATTGAGGGTTTAGTTTTGCAATGTACCGTACGTTTCAATCACGTAAACAGTAAATTGATAATGTTGAAGCGCTATGGCGGATAATCTTCAATAGTCAAATAAATTGAGAAGAAGCATGCTGTAGATATGGATAGGTAACAGATCTGTTCTTCGTTCGATCTAAAGCTCTCTAGGGCGAATCAAACCCTCGTGTTCATCATGAGATCCAAACTCGCCATTAAATCTCGCTGTTCTAATACATAAAAGTAGCAGAATGCCTCGATCAATGGTCAAGATAGTGGTATTGATACAAGCCCATCCAACCCAAGCGTACCATCCGAGAAATATGGCTGGCTGCGGTCCCAACTCCCACATATTAGGAGGAAGTATCAGCCTGAAAGGCCACAGAACGGCAAGAAGCATGAATGTGAATAATTGGGTGCCAAGTGTCTATTCGCTATATGCACCCGATTAATCAACAGGTGGCATTATACGAGCCTGAAGACAAAAAGCAATGACAGCCAGGAAGGTGAAGAGAGGATTGATGATGCCTATGTGAAGATTGCGGTTGATATTAAATATTATGTCTTCGGGTCGACCTCCTACAACAACATAGAAGATAGAAAAGAGCCCATGGAAGATCCAAAGCCCGACCGCAACTCTTTTAGCAGTAGGGCTGATCGTTGGAGAGGGTAGATAAATGACGAGCGCAAATCTATTGAAATTTTAGCTGGATCTGCAACATAAAAAAATGTTCATTTTTCAAGCAACGTACAATAACAACGAGCAAATCCACTGAACAAGAATCTGAGAGAGGTTAAGCCAGTCATGAATGGAAGGTGGTGTGGCGATCGGAATGCCGTATCTCATGTCTGGTGCCGTCTTGAAAAGATAGTACGTAGTAACAGTTTGTACTTGATTCATCAATGTGATAATGAGAACGCTTGCGATGGAAAGACCAGCTGATGAGCTCAAAGTGAGCATACGCTGATATTGAGGGATGTAAGAGATGAATGTCGCGACGACTAGGAGCCTTCAATAAAACAAAGTTGAGTATCAGCAACCATGATTTGATATACATCAATTGAATTAATTAACCTACAGACTGAGATAATTCATGGGGGACATGACGTCTAATAATAAGTGGCGCTACTCAGCCCTGTGCCATGGGTAATCTTATGGCAACCTGGCATATCCTCTTGTGAATGTAGCAGTCTGGCAATCAATTAGTATATCGTCTTGAACACCTCTTTGAGATTGATTAATGATACCTACCTATGGTTCAGTGGGATTATATCATTCACTTCAACTATTCAAATGATAAGGTTCTGGCGTGGTAAATGCGAATAGCTTTCATTTTCAAAGTAGGCTACAAATCAGTTCAAGCAATGAATTCTCATTATATTATCAGAGTAAAAAGTCATTTGAATGTTGATGTTCTGGACTTGGTGGGGCATTTGACACAGCCGGACGAGATCGGCCCACCTCGGAACCCTAATCCTCTTTCCGAAGCCGAAAGATCTTATCGATTGATCCACTCCTAGCTATCAGAAAAAAAAGAAAGAGAAAAAAATTATTGTATGAAAACGAGATTAGTATCCCAGAATAGATCTTTTTTTCAACAAACCTTCTGCCAGCGTCATCATGATAGATGTCTTCCGATGAAAGAGACTCAAAAAGTAGATTCTGCTCTATAGCAAGTCCCAGTTTCGATCTGGGGACCTCCGGGTTATGAGCCCGGCGCGCTTCCACTGCGCCAACTTGCTTGTTATTTGATGCGAAATTTTCAGGATTTAGAATACATATACAGTTGGCAAAGTGGACTTATCAAAGAAGTAATGGGTCATAACTTTGGGAGGGTCAAAAAATTTGTCGTTGTGGTTAGGTAGGAAGGAGGGTCACCAGTCGGTATGATTTCGGTAGGAATTTTAGGTTTTCGCGATTTGGTGACATTGATGACAAACATACATCAGAGATGTGCTGAGACTAATTGTTCTGAGTTTTTATTCTCAATGACTAATTTATAACAACAACAATACCATCTCCCATCCAGAGCAGGATGGTCCCATAACTTCGCATCAAATCCTCATGCAGACTTCACAAAGCCAATTTACTCTCTAAGAAAATAACCTTAAAATATCATCAAACATGCTAACACACTTTTTACTCCACACCCTTCAATTATTTGAGTGACTCAAGACCAACTCAAAAGCTTATCTGCCAACACATAACTCAAGAGATAATAGTGATATTATCTGAAATCGCTCTGCAGTTCATTGGGGTGGTAAGAACGGGCGATAGAGATTCAATCGACGAACTATAACGATAACCAGTGTTGAATCCAAATAGTTGACCCACGGTTGAATTGTATTTCTCGGCCAAATCCTTATAGACACCATACGTGAACTGAATTGGCTGAACAGAACATTCGGAAGGGCTACATTGAGGCAACTTCATCAAACTACCAGCGGTGATAATTTCATCGACGGATGAAACACCGAGCATGGAAATAACATCGGCTGAGATGGCAGAAACATCGATGTTGAATTTTAAGGCGATCTTGGTAACGGTATCATTACGCACAGTAGTGTACGTATGGGGTCCTCCATAGAGACATGAAGTTGTGTCATCTGAGGCAGAGAGAAGACAGGATTCGTTGTCCGGATTGCAAACTTCAGCGGGAATGATCAACACGAAGCCGGTGTCGATGTATTCAGCATCTGGCATTCTGCTGGCGCGAGCAATATCGCAAACTCCACGGTTGGTAGCTGCGGCAATACTGAAGATCGTATCGGTCTCTGTGACAGTCCAGGTGGAAGCAGTAGTGTTGAGACTTGCGGTTGTACAGTTTGCGTCTTGGGCCAAGGCAACGGAGGCCAAACTAGACAAGAGGAGGGAGGCTTGAGTGATCTTCATTTTGATTAATGAAGATAGCAAATAGGAGCTTGAGATGTAGTATGTACAAGAAGAGATGAATTAATGAATAGCTGGTTGAAGAGATAAGAAATTGGGAGCAATCGGAACTCCTTATAGCTGGAACCTTAGCCCATGTATATGGACTAGCTATCTTGATATTGAGGCGTTTAGGGTCAGGGTCAGGGTTAGGGTTAGGGTTAGGGTTAGGGTTAGGGTTAGGGTTAGGGTTAGGGTTAGGGTTAGGGTTAGGGTTAGGGTTAGGGTTAGGGTTAGGGTTAGGGTTAGGGTTAGGGTTA